CAGAGAATGGAAGAAAATAAGCGAAAGGCCATGAAAGAAACTGACCCATCAAAAAAAGCAGCTCTTATTCAAGCCATTGAGGAAGATGGTTTATTACTACAACAGAAATATCAGAAAAAAAAAGAACTTTCTGACAAGTTTAATTTTGACCCAAAAAAGAAAGTTGATGATTTAATAGAGGCCATGAAAAAGGCTATTGAAAGAAGCAGAAAGAAAAAGGGCGGTGGTTCCGGAGGAGGAAATGGTAAAAACTCTGATGATACTGAAAGTTCCGATAGTGATGATGATAGTTCAGATGATGATCAAAACAGCAATGGTTCAAATCCAAAGCCAAAAAAAGACCCAAAAAACGACTTCTTTCAAGGCAACAAACAACTAATTGTTATTTCCAGTATAGCTTGCCTAGTTATTTTTTATCTCTACTTCCAACAATCTAAAAAACAAGAACCTAATTATTACGATTTCTAAAACTATGACTATCCTTGACAATAATATTAAACCAACCTTAGAAAAATTAGAGAAAAACATTACTCCTCATTACACTAATTTAGAACCCTATCAAAGAGGTTTAATTTTAATCGTTCTTGTCCTTTTTCTGCTTTTTACTATTTATTTACTAACTAAAAAAGAAATTCCGGAACCCAGAGAACTAACTGAAACCGAGAAAAAGCAAATAGAAGCCATGGCAGAGCAAAAAATATTGAAAAGAGCGGAATTTTTAAGAAGATTACAAGGATAGCATATGTATGAAAATAACTTAGATGCTGAAAGCCAAACTAATGAAAATAAGCAACAAGAGCAACTACAACTGCTACTTATTATTGCTATAGTAGGAATAGGATTTTCGCTCATCTTCCGCAAAAAAGAGAAAAAGCTAAGGGAGAAATAAATAAATTATTTCAGCAAAACTCTTTCGTTGTTGCTACTGATTTAAATGCTGACCTCTGAAAGGATGCTGAAAATTGAGAAGAATATGTAGATAGTTTGTATTTAAGTTCGCAACTTAATTTGTTTGTTCGTGAAATGAGAAAAGAAATTATTAGATTAGCCGAAGAGGAAAAAGAAAAACCAAAAAAAGCCCGAGAGCAAGCCATAAAAGAAATAGAAGACTTTGCTAAAAGTAATTGAACCAAGGATGAGTTAAAATCAAAAGAACTACAAAGAAAAATAAAAGAATTTACTAAAAAGATTAATAAAACTTCAGTTAATGAACTTTCTTCAGTCATAAGTGAAGCCAATAACTTTATCGTTGACATAAAGGTAAAAAGACAAGGACTACACTGAAAAAGGAAAATTCATAATTGGGCTGACCGATGACTACTAAGAAATCGTAATAGTTTTGAATCATCCTGAGAAAAAATGAGCAAGATGTATGGCGGAGAACCTGATTATTTTGACATTGCCGCTATTTATGAAATTAAGTTTCCTCCTTCGCTTTGGAATAACTTAACCGAGGAGCAAAAGGAATTAGCCAAGAAAAAAGGACATAGTGAATTAAAACTAAAAGATGAAGTTCAAAACTACAAATTCAGTAAGTTAATCACTGATTGAGAAGATAAAGCTAGGTCTAACACTGTCCGAGGCGAACTAGATCCTGATGACCTTAGCAATTTAGATAATAATGCTCTATTTTATGGAGCACCAAGAACCGGGAAATCAGTCATGGCTGAGAAACTTGCTTATGAGGCTGATATATATCCATTAGTTGTTATTCAAGGTTCAACTTTAACCCCCAAAAAACCTGATAACGATATTGGTGCTACTCTTTTGATAAAGTTTATTTACACTATTAGTGATATAACTCACAAACTAGTAGAAGACTTTGGTTTCGAAAGAGCCGAAGATGGCGAAGCTCGTTATATCCTATTTTTGGATGAAGCTGACCAAATATGCACAACTCATTTGCTACCTCCAAAAGATGCTTCTTCTCAGTTAACGTTCCTTAAAGAGTGCATGGGTAGCGATAGTAAAGATGAAGAAAGTAAAAATCTTTGAATTGCCGCTACTAACCATTTAGATAATATTAACCCTGCTGTTTATCAATCCGGCAGATTAAGTAACCGTTTGTCTTTTAGTTGAACCTTAGGAGAGTTTATGGGATATGCTAGCGATGCCGGAATTAGTAATCAATTTCCTCAGCGTTGAATAGATGAAACAATTTTGAATGATGAAGACAATCAATGAATAAATAAATTTAACAAAATTATTTTTGATAAAGACTTTTTGCCGTTTTGGCAGAAATTTATTGATAAAAATCCCGAAGCGGAGTATGAGCTAGAAGAGGATGAAAAGAAAAACAGAAGAAATGAAGATGATGATGACAAGGAAGATGAAAAAATAAAAATCAAATGAGGCGAAATGCTCGAATTTTTTTGGAGACTAAAAGACAGTAGTCAGTTGGATAATTTTGATGGCAAATTCACTAACCCTCGTGACCCTAAGATAGAAGAAGTAATAAAGGAGAGTTCAATATTGGCGGCTAATCAAATTAGTAAAGCCATAGATACCCGTTTGAAGCAAGTTGATGAAACAATTACCAAAATAGAGGATGAAATAACAGCAGCCAATACTGCTTACAGTAGAATTATAAAAGAATCAGTTGAAGAAATAACAACCCTCTTATCAGCAACAGGAGGGAAATTAAGTTAAAAACATGAAAACCCAAGAAAAAATAAAACTAATCGAAACTAAAATACAAGAAATCAAATCTACCCTGATCTACTGAACCCAAGAAGTAGAAAAGTATACCCTAACTTTAACTGAACTAACTAACCAACTAAATACAATCAAAAAACAAGTAAATAACAAACAAAATAAGAATATCAAATAACCATGCCAGCACCACTATTAATCGCCTTTTGTGCTTTTTGCGGAACATACTGTGTCAAAAAAGTCCACGATGTTTTCAGCAAAAAAGAGAAAAACAAAAAAAGAAAATTAGACCTCAAAGGTAAAACCATAGACCAAGCTAGAGAGGATAATAAATCAGCCCGTGAAGAAGAAAAAAAGCCCGTGAAGCACTAGAAGAGCAAGAAAGAAAAAATAAAGAGTTAGAAAAGGAATTAGAACAGGCTAGAAATAAAGTCAACGACCCTAATCTTTCCGAAGAAGAAAGAGCCAGTTGAAGAAGAAAAATCATAGTGCTAGAAGAGCAATTAAACAACGGTCAAGGAGAAAGCAAAAGCCTTAGTAATCATTTAAAAAAATTAACTGAAAGAATTAAAAATAAATCAATAAAATATGTAAAATCTTATGGTAATAGAAAATCAAATACCAAAAACCGAAACGGTTCAAGAATTAAAAGACGAATATAAAGTTCCTTCTTTTGAGGATATGAAAAATTATGAGAATGATGGTAATTTAAATTACGATGATTTAAGTGGTGGTGATATTGGTGAAGTGAAGGGTTATGGACCAACTTATACTTCAAACTCTCAGATAATAACGGGAGAAATTCCCCAAGTGCGTTGAGACAGTATTTTTAGTATAGATTACAAATTTGAGGAAGGTTATTATCCAGAAAATAAAAGATTTTTTGATTTAGGCAACAATGAATATTCTACCGTGTGAAGAATAAGGGGTAATTTAGATGAGTTATACAGAGAACAAGACTTAATAGAAGAAGGAAAAATCAGAGTAGTTAAAATTAATCCTCTTAGTAGTCGGTATACAAAAGCGGAAAACGAGGAAGCAGAAGTTAAAAATCAATTAAGAAAAGATATCAGAAGGTTTGAGTTAGCGGCGAGACATGGCAAAAGACAAACTACATGAGAGTCAGGAGTATTTAGTTGAAAACATGCCTATAATAATGTTTGTTATGCCGAAGAAAAGCATCAAATTAGTTATAAATAATTTTCATGGCAAACGGAATCTTCATTTGCGGTAGATGCAAAAAGGAAAAAAGTAAGTGCTTTGCTTATGGTATTACCTATACTGGATGGCACAACAATATGGCTTGCCCTGACTGTGGAAAAATAAAACAACGAGGGGTATCTATTGTTGAAGGTATGTGTTATGAAATGAAAAGAACTTATGTTGGTTGTCTTGATTGTAATCCGGTAATGGATGATGATGAGAATATTTGATTTACTGATAGGGTTTGCATTCAGTGTTTTTTAGAATGAAAAAAACAAACAAAAAATGATGTCGGTATTACTACTAAAAATAATAGTTTTTTTACTGATTTACAAAAAGAAAACCAAGAATTACGCCAGCAATTAGCAGCAGTTCAAAAACAATTAGCTGAAGTTTTGGCTGAATTGAAAAAGTTAAAGAATAATTCGACCGGTAAAGATAGTGAAAAGTTGAACCAGCAAATAGTTCAAAATGAAAGGTTAATTGCAAGTGGTAGTGCCGTTTCTGAAGTCGAAGTGCGAGACCAAATTAATAAATCAGAAGCCTTAATGAAAGAATTTAATACCACTGTTTCACCAGTAAATGATAATAAGAAGGATAATGATTTCTCAACTGGTTTAGTTATTGGCGGTGGAATATTAGCATTAATGGGATTAATGGCAATATTGATTATAAAAAAAAGTAGGAAAAGCAAACATAAATAATAAATTAAGAAAAAATGGGAGCCTCAAAAACTCCCTACTTCTTACTAATAATTGAGGTTCCCACTTGAATTATTAGGACTTTTAAAATTGTTCTCATTCTTGCTTTTCTCAATCTTTTTTGTGTTGCTGAACTTGTGGGCAAACATACTTTTCCGCTGGGTCTTGGTGGGCTTTTAAACATCCTCAACAGCGGGAACTTCAAACTTCTTGTTTCATTATTTTTTAGTTTTTAATTTCTCTATTACTGAGAAAATTCTCACAATTAAGACAATCATAACCTAATTGCTTTTTTTTCATGGTGCCACCACA